ATGAAACTCTAAAAAGTTTATTTTTTTTATTTCATTCTGTACATAAAACTTGCATAAACGTATTTTAAAGAGCGAATTTTCAGTATTTTCTGATGATATATATTTAGAAGTATAAACTCTTTCACCCAAAAAATATATTCCTGCGTGCGCCCCTGGCACTTAGTATTTATTATGTGTAGAACATATCTTTTTTTACTTTCAAAATGTTCGTAATTTTAAACATTTCATGTGTATATTTATGTGTATATTTTAAACAACTCATGTTCAAAATCAAATCTTGAACATCTTGTGCGTATACTTGAACAGATTCTGGTTGAAAAATAAACACTTTTCAGTAGTAGGTTTACATGCACTTTTTAGAGTGTATAACAAAAATTGCGGAACGAACACTGAAGCAGCACTGACGGTAAAAAACGGCATTGTGCCGGACGGTCTGAACAACTCTATTTGGGACTGGGGCAACGATATTATATTTTTCACTGACACTGATAGGTACGGCACTGATATGTGTAGATAGACTTTTATTGTAAAAATCACCTACATACATAATTGATTTGAGGTCGATAAATAAACGCAGGTCTAATTCCGATTGTAGGCATCGTTTCTATTTGCGCCGCTGCAACTTTAGGCATTTTTAAACACTTCGCACTATTCTGTTATTTCAAAGATATTTTTTTTTTATATTTAGTAACGAAAATCCACTTTGTATAAGCCAAAAAACTAAGCCTTTAACGCACTTGCTTATTTATCAACTTCGCGAAAACAATGTGCCGAATTCCCATGGTGCCCAACAAATAGACATACATATGTACTGTTGTGCATGCCACTTCAGCGTTGGAAAAATGGAATTCGGCTAGACAGAGGCAGGATTCTCATAAAAAAGGTATTTTAGAGAGTGTAAGAAAAAATGCTTAATTTCTTCCCCTAGGATACAATAAACGCATTTTTTTACTTAATATTTCTGGTTCCACTAACAGTAGTGAGCACCTTCATTAAGTCTTTGTTGTATTTTTAAATAGTGTGACGCTTAAACAGCTGTTATAAGTGGTAATATTAGTTTTCCCAAAAATTGCAGATACGTGGTTAAGGCAGAAACGGGACGATATGAAAGCATGTATTAAGTCTAAAAGCCTGATTATGGCAACTTAATTCAACTTAACGGAACGTAGAACTTAGATAATCAAAATGAAACAGATTTCGACGTGGCATTAAGTTAAGTTTCGGCTGTTCAACTATAATTTACTAGCCAATGCCCGCTTGCTTCGCAGAGCCTAATAAGATCTTTTGCGTAAACATTTTTAGTTTAAATTGAGACGAATAAAGAGCAGAATCCTCCTCACACATAGGCTAAGAATAGTAGTGATACCATATGGAATACTAATCCCTTTCGATGTCATGAATTTTACCGATGGTCTTATTTCCACCTGTGAGATCTCTGCCTAGCGTGAGTAATATTCTTCTATGATTTACAACTTCAACATTGGTTCGTTAACCAGTTTTCAGTTATAGGAGGGCCAACGAAATCGGTTCATAAAGCCACCTAGCGGGTCTATTCTTGGTAAACGTATTTTCCGTCATGCTGGTAGGTTACATTTTGAATT